CATTTCTACCTCAATTTCTCATAACGTCACGCTATCTTATCTTGTATCTGCATGTTCTGGGCCCCATTAAACTAAATCACTTAATCAAATCAGGCCTAATTAGAAAGGAGACTGAGGAGGACCAGGATAAACAAGCCTGACTCAATGTTTCTGGTCTCATCTGGACTGCTGGCTCTTTGCTGCTTCCCTGTGTAGCATGTCAGGAACTACAGCTGCTTTCGGGATGCGTTTAAAAGCTGAAACAGGTAAGATAAGGAAAATGAAGGACTACAAACCTGTATCCCCTAAGGAAAATGCCTACACAGACTTTTGGATGATCTGTCGAGTTCCTAAAGTTTTCATTTCTGTACAAATGGATTCAAAATGAATAGTTGTCCTTTTTGAAAAAAGCATGTTTTAATAATCTAAGTTAAAATTATAAGACAGCATGTCAGCTATTTCATGCAACAAGTAAAAATGTGATTTACGCTCATTATGTCAAGATAAGAATTTAGTTGTGATATTATCAGACTCTATCTTGTTTTTAAATTAAAGGACTATTTCATGTTTACCCAATTTCATCACATTTTCAAAAATAATACTGAAGCTCATAAATGATAGACTTCTAAAGTTGTATTTCAAACCCGTCTTTCTCCGCTTTCTCTCCCTTGTCCTCTTCCCATGTAAATAAGGCCACCTCCCCCTAAAAAAAATATATATATATATATATATATATATATATATATTTCATAAATAAGTTATGAAATATTTAATATTTTTTAAATAATTAGCATTAGTATGACTTACAGTTATGTCTAGGAGTCTATTCTTTCATTGTGACAATAGATCTTATTAAAAATTGCCATTCGCAACACGCTATAAATATGACTTGACAAGTCATGGATAATTTTGTATAAAAAAAAAACAACAAAAAAAAACAATGACAACAACAATTATATTAAGATTTCATATCCACGGAAAAACATTTTTGGAAAAACAAAAAAATTAAATAAATATTTTAATCAAGATTACTCAAACTGAGTGAAACTAATTTATTTGTAATATTCCGATAGCAAAATTAAAGTAACAATTTAAGCACATTGAGTTTCGTAGTGGTTCCTCTTTCTTAATTTGAATATGAAGAATTGTTTGTTTGCTTACAAAATCAACATAAATAATTTTAGGTATAGACGAGTGATAAATATATTGGCAGAAGGTAAACTTTAGTGCTCGTTTTATTCAGAAAATCCTATATATAGGTATCCAAAATGGATTTGCCACTCGTAACAGGGCGGATGCGCTGTCGTATCATTTTTACAGGGCAATGAGATCTACTCTTCCGTTTCCAAAAGTCATTGAGTTGTCGTAAATTTGTTCATGAATTTATTGAAGAGGGGGAAAAAAACAAAAATTTGACGCTTAAAATTCACTGCGACTTTTAATATTTAGGCATTACATTATACATAGTGAAATATTTTTGGGGAATGGGAGTTTTAATTTTAAGTTTGAACTTCTTGGTTGTTGACGTAACAGTTTGTTACCGGTGACCGCTTTACGGCAGAGCGTGCTGCTGGAGGTCAGGGACATGATCACACGAGAATCTCAGTAGTTTCTTAGTAGTAAACGTTGCCTTCGTAAGAAAGATTATACTGGAATACAGAATATTCTCGGATTGGATTTTTTCTGCTGGTGTTGGAAACATCCAGCTGCACGTTTTTAGAAGGTTTGTAATTTACTTTGTGTTACGACATCTCTTGCTAAGGTTAGCCGCCTCGGCTCAGCTAGCTTCTTTTAGTTTACAGGCTCTAGTCTGAGTCTCCAGAGAGGGTTACAGCAATGGACAACAACTCTCAGGGCTCGGGGGGACTTAAAGGGGGACTCGGGGGTCTCTTTGGTGGCGGTGGTGCTCCTGAATACTCCAACTCAGAGCTCGCCGGTGTCCCACGTAAGTATCCTGTGATGCTAGCTGTAACAACACAGTAATGTTAGCCGCTGTCACATTGCTCACATGCAGTGTGGTGCAGATGGTTTTAAAACTTCGGATTGCTTCTGTATTCCAGTGACAGGCATGAGTCCTCTTTCACCTTATCTCAACGTCGACCCTCGTTTCCTGGTTCAGGTAGATTTCATCTCACTATCACCACGCAAAACTGTTGAGTTTTATTTTCCTCCTGTCTGTGCTAATCTAAAATGGTTGTGTTGCAGGACACAGATGAGTTCATTTTACCAACAGGGGCCAACAAGACAAGAGGGAGATTTGAACTGGCTTTTTTCACCATTGGAGGCTCGTGTATGACAGGTGAGTAACCACTCCTGTTCATCTGTAAACCTTATCTATTTAAGTGGGAACAAATTGCTGGTGAAGTCTGTAAAATTTCTTTCCAGGTTTAGCAGAAGTAATACTTCCAATGCTGAGAATATTATACTCAAAATTTTCAGTGTACTCACACTGGAGCTAATGTCTTGCCTCACTCTTAACACAGGAGCCTCACTGGGAGCTTTAAATGGTCTGAGGATGGGCTTGAAGGAGACGAGAGACATGGCATGGTCCAAACCTCGCAACGTACAGTAAGCATGGACACAGTCCACTCTATGTCAATTGTACTGCCTTGCAAAAGTATTCATACTTTTTCCATAAAAACGAGATTTGTGAAGCTCACAAGTAACTTCACAGGGAATCGTCCCTGGACAGATTTTCCGACACGAATTGTGGCTCGCAGATGAAATGTGTAAGGTTACTTCCGAAGAGAATTGGGATGATTACACGTGTATGCCACAGTTTTTGGATTTTTCTGTTTTTATGTGTCCCTTTGCTTCTATTTCATGGTTATGAACTGCATTGTGTTGGTCTATAACATAAAATACCTGTAAAATACGCAATAGTTTGTGCTTGTAACATGATGAAATGCTGAAAAACGTGAAGGGTGTGGAAACTGTTGCAAAGTACTGTATGTTTATTTCCTCTTAAATCACTTCCCCTCTAAATGTTTTTACTTTTTCTTCACCAGAATTCTGAACATGGTCACCAGGCAGGGGGCTTCGTGGGCCAACTCTCTAGGCTCTGTCGGTAAGATTAGAATGAAAACTTAACTGTTACCAAACCAAACGTTTTAAGGGTTGTTTATTTTAAATCGCCTTTGCAAAGTCTTGTCTTTTTAACTCTGGTGCTTTTTTTTTATTATGTCCTTGCAGCTCTGTTGTATAGTGCTTTTGGTGTGGCGATAGAGAAAGCCAGAGGGGCAGAAGATGACATTAACACAGTGGCTGCTGGCACGTTAACAGGAATGCTCTTCAAATCCAGCGGTAGGTGTCTCTGCTTGGGCATTGGGCATCAATTTGGTCATCATGTTTATAATAGTATGCTTTTTTACCATTTTTCATCAACGTAATCTACATTATGAAGATATAATCATTCTCAAAATAAAATTGAAAAGTAATGTTTTTTTTAATTGGAAACCTGAAAGCGTTTATACAGTTTTTCTTGATTAAATGTGGAGCCAAATGAAGGAGTTTGGATTTTATTTGTGAATTTTTTTGGGTGCAAACTTTGATTTTATGCAGTTTTTGTATGTCAACTTACTATTTATTTAATTTCAACATACAAAAAAAAAAAGCTTTCCTGATTATGATGGAACCGATACTTGAGTTTTATAGAGTCATCATGTACAGATACCAGTAATTTTGAAACAGAATATGCTCTCTTTTCTTTCTCCTTTTGAATTGTCCGAGAGAAATTAGCCTCTGGATCATATCGTATTTACATCCCAGGGCAACAGGAAGTCATGAGTGACTTAAAATTTTGCATAAACTTTGCTTCAACATTCATGTTCACATAGTAAATAAAAAAGCTTCAGTTAGATTTATTTTATCTGGATTGTTAAGAGTTTTCACACAGCACATTCGAACTCGGTTGTAAGTGGGATTGAATTGCTGGCGTGCTAATTATTAATATAAAAATATTTGTTTTATATTAAAAAATGTATTTCTTGAGGGGTTTTCTCCCTGCTTAGTAAATGTTCTCAAACAGTGCTCTTTTTTGACATCTCATCTAAAAGATGAATTTATTATTCACTATTTAAATGGAAACCTGTGGTAGGCATCAAGAAGATAGTAAATTTATATATACGACGAAAATAACAGGTTGGGCATGTTGTAACAAACAGTTGACAGAGTAATAATTATGCAGATTCTAAGATGATCTTTAGAAAGCCTTCTAAAGCTCAAACTGAGCAGATTTCTTTGAGTTCCCATCCTGAGGTTAGGTCTTATTCACCAAACACCTCATATTATGTCTAATGATCGTTTTCAGAGATGATGATGATGATTCCATTCATTTTTTTCTCTCAGGGGGATTAAAGAGCGCAGCCCGTGGAGGTCTGGTTGGTTTAGCCGTATCCGGTGCCTACGCTCTTTACAACAACTGGGATCATCTCACCGGCTCCTCGCCCTCGTCCCGCCTCTACTAGCCTCTTCCACGCCGTAGCTACTTCGTCGTTAGGGGTATCTGGAGGACACAGCCTTTAACCACAAACTGCTAGGTTTGAGTTAAATTCGGTGTTCTTTTCCCGACTCCTGTCACTCGCCCTGAAGCATTCTGGGAATTGAGAGAAAAAGTTAATTCCTCTGGAAATCCAGATCATTTGTGTTAGTCCCGATCAGTGAGGACATGGTATGAAATCCTGACACTTAAGTTGTATTGTTTATGAATGAGTTGTCCGTCTCCAGTGATGCCATGCTGAGAGACATTTAGGTTAAATGAGCCAATTTATGGGACAGCACCCGGAGTGTGGTCCAGACGAGGTGTTTTCAGACTGAAAGACTCGCCACCTGTAAAAATGGAACAAATCCTGATGGTCTGATGACTTGTATTTATTATTAAAACGTATGTTAGTGGTTTCCGCTCTGTGAGAGTGGAAGTCACCGTAAAGCTGTACCGGAACTGCTTACTTTTCGTGTTTCTCCATCAAGTACGCTGTTTGATAAAGTGGAATAAAATGAAACGGAAATGTTCACAGACATTCAGCTTTTTTATCGCTTTTATTGCAGAAAGTAACTTGTAAATGCCAATGTACGCAAACGAAAACTAGCTGCACGTTTAGAGTTCATATTTATATTGTGAAGTGTTTGCTCAGTGGAAAAAGGAACGGTGTGAGGGAGCCGAGGTTCAGGTTTTGCTGAGTCAGCAGGGCCCTCTCAGTGCAGGAAGAAGTCCCTGATGCGGGTCGCCTCTATCCAGGGGATGTAGGCGGTGGTGCGGGTGAAGACGCTGGGTTTGTTCTCCACGGTGCAGCCGATGGGGCCAAAGCTCACCACCCCGTGCACCTCCCAGCGATCACGGCCGAGCTGGCACAGCAGAGGACCACCCGAGTCGCCCTGAAGGGAAGAAAGCCGTGAAAAAAAACGCCACCCGACAGACACAATGTTCCTGTAAGCGATGGGGAGTCCTTACCTGACACGCCGCAGGCGGGCCCTCGGTGTCCCTGAACCCGGCACAGATCATGGAGTCCCGGACACGGTCGCCCCAGAACTTCTTCTGCCGGCAAGTTTTGAAGTCGATGATGGGCAGACGGGCTTGATTCAGCGCTTCCGCCAACGAGACGTTCTCCTTCCCACCTGAAATGTGTTTATAGAGCGAGTAAAATTTTAATGACGGTAATAAAATCTACAAACTTTCTTAGTAATTCACTTCGGAGTGAAACTCCTATACATTCACACACTCTGAGTCGGGTAAATTTTATGATTAGATGGGGTTCATCTTGAAAGAAACTGCTACAAGGATGCTGTTAAGAGAGGGATTTTTTTTTTAATAGGGAAAAGTCATCATGGGAAGACTGCCAACTCGACAATTATCCAGCCAATAATCAAGGTCTCAGAGTGTGGAGGAAAGATTCTTCAAATCCGTGTTCTGAACGTCAGAAGGATAATTTGCAAACTGGATGGACTCGTCACTGAAACTAAGGATTTCAGAGAGTCAATCTTCAGTAGTGCAGTAGGGGCTTTGGGATGATGCCAAAGAGATAATAAGCTGCAGAAAATGTAGATTTAGTTGGAATTTCATCATTGTAAAATTTAGGGATGCACCGATGTTAGCATTTTGGGCCGATATTGACACCAGATACTGATATTGCTGTTATGACTGATGACCAATATTGTATACATTTCTCTACTCTTTTAGCACCGTTTAAAAAGAAAGAAATCAGCACATCGCTTCTTTGCTTCAGTTAAACGTGCTGCATCACTATCTTATGACTGAATCCCTTCTCCTGAGACTCTCATACAAAGGTTAACAAGATGGAATCACTTAATAACATCAGCCAATACCGATATCCTTAAAAATGATTAACATCTGCCAACACTGATATTAATGTCGATGTATATCGTTCATCCCTAGTAATGTCAAACAGCAATATCCAATTTGCCTGTTTCAGTGTTACTATTGTTGGTGCCCTACCTTTTCTCAGTGTCTGAGTCCCTCGTCCCCGACTCACCTCTGGTGTCTCCCCAGCCCGTCACCCAGCAGTAGTGCCCCGGTTTGAGGGGGCTCTGCTTGCGCGGCAGGCAGGCATAGCGGATGAAGTTTGAAGGCAGGATGTCCGTGCCGGCCTTCACCAGCGCGATATCGTAGTCCAGCTCGCTGTGAGCAGGATAGCGGAAGTTCTCGTGCCGGTAGATCCTCTTGATGGGGAAAATCCTCTCTGCAGACTCTGAGCGCTTCAGCTGGTGCTTCCCAAGGACAATCCTCCAGCTCCCAGGATCCTCCGCTTTACCCCTGAGAGTGTTTGACAATTTTTTTTTTTTTTTTTTATCAGATGTTGTATTTAATTCATACAAACTTGCAGTTTCTTTAAGGTGTGAGATTTATGGAATGTTTTGGGTTTTTTTTACTTCTGGAAGCAGTGAGCTGCAGTGAGCACCCAGTTCTTATGGATGAGAGTTCCTCCACAGACATGGATGTAGTGTTTACTTCCTCTGGGTCGAACCTGTGACAGACAACCAGACAGTGCGGTCAAATTTTTTTGTAAATGTATCTATTTTTGTATTTTGAGTGCTGAAAAGGGGAGCAGTAAAAGTCAATAATCAACTCCTGAATTTTTTAGGTTTTACATTAACAGCGTTTAGAGTTCAGGTATAAATGTGGCTCACTTGGATTTAATTTAATGTAACTATTTAAATTTACCACATTTAAATTAGTTTAAAAACTGTTTTTAAAAACATTTAAAAACAGTTATTTGTTTGCGTGTCATGCAATTTTAGTTTGATCTTAATGCGTGTTTTAACAACTATGTTAGATTTTATAAAAAATTAAAATGCCTTTCTATATTTTATTTCTGATGTGATTCAGGCATATTTTTTTTTTCAAATTGACTGAGCTTTATAAACATTAAATACCTTAACGTTTATAAATAGCTCGTATCTATCTCTAGGATTTTCTCATATGTTTCCCTAATTGTACATTTTGTAGGACATTTAACTCTGCAATTATTTAGATTTTATTTACATTCTACACCATTTTAGCTACTTAACAAAACCTTGATTTCCAAACAAAAGTGTCAAATTAAATTTCACCTGAAAAGAGGATTTTGAACCATCGAGTAATGCCTTTTGATTGTTTACATTTTTTCCCTTTCACTTAACTTTCCAATAAATTTGGATACAGAACTCTTGTGAATAGACAGCTTCCTTAACGATCACATTTTAAAACTTATCCGTCCTTTGCTGGGTGTCAGTCACATAGCCCTACAGCTCTGTTAAATTGCTATTATTGGTGTTATGTCATATTGATCAATTTTATTTCTGAAATAAATTAACTTTAATTCATTGCAATGTACTGATCTGATTTGATAATAAAAAAAAAAATACTGGATGAAATTGTCTGTAAATAAGCAGAAACCATGGCGTTTTCCTAAAAATAAAGGATCCTGTCGGTGTGTTTTACCTGCAGAGAGACCTGCCAGGGCCAGGAGTGAGGTCTGGCCTCATTTCCGGAGACAATCCTCTCAATCATGTTTGGCTTGAAGTGGGGCATGCCGCAATCCTGTGGCCAGTCTAAGAGAACAGAACCAACACATTCAGACACCACAGAGCCACTGCATGAGTAACACAAGCCTTCCTTTGGTGTTGGTGGAGTTTACTGGTTCTCACCCAGCTGGAGGACTTTGTGTTGTGGCTGTTGTGCTGGGATGAGTGTGTATGCAGCCGCAGGCAGGGACGCCTTGCTCAAAAGCAGCAGCAGCAAAAGGGACAGAAAGCAGAGCAGAGGAGGTCCTGATGCAGCCATGGTCTCCCACAGAATCACCGACCGGGCCACAAGCGGGCACTATTTATAGCAAGCAGCACCCAAATGTACGCAAACAGGTACAGTTCACACACACACAACAGCAATCCTCCAGCGACAATGAGTTAGTGTCACAACAAAAGCAGAGCGCTGGATAGTTCTCCTGTAGCTTTGAGCTTTACTGCAGCTGAGAAAAAGGGGTTTTTTTTTTTTTTTTTTTTTTCAGGGGAGGCCCATCAGCACTTTCACATCCATACAGAATTCTCCCAGCACACGGACATGCGTGCAAGACAAAGACATCGCGACACAAGCAAGTGTATTTGTCACGTGACTGATTGGAGTGACACAGCGGCCTGAATGTAACCTTTGTCATGTCCGATGCAGGACAAGTGGAGCACAAAAACTGCAGTCCGGTTTCTTTCTAAATTTCATCACAGTACAGCACCAAAAGTCAACAGTAGAAGCTACGTGTGGTTCTGGCGTTCCTGGAGGGCCAATCACTTTATGCCCTCTCCCTATTTTGGTCTCACCTGACCACATGACCTCCTCTGGATTATCCAAATGGTCATTGGGAGACTTCAGACAGTAGGTTTGTTTCTTGACATTACTAATTTACATTCATTTTAATAGCACTATAGTCGACATATTCCAAGTAATTAGCTCGACTTTACAAAAAATATCTACACACAAGCATACATCTGTAAAAGTATGACAACAGTAGCTGCAGTCGAAGCCCCTGGTGAGCAGAGCTGTACTTGCTGCAGCGAATAAAAGAGAATGTGCCCGCTCATCTGTATGACAGAGCTTGAATGGTCAGATCTCACCACTGGGGTTCACCAAGTTTGCGTACAACTCTACTTTGTGTTTACCGGGTGAATGAGGTACAATGTGGCACAGGCAGAAAAACAAGCACCATACGGATAATTTAGCTTTACAGCCCAGAAACAAGTATCACACATACAACTCATAGAGGACATAATGATTAGAAATGGGGATCTTAATTTTGCGACTATTTTCCAATTCATAGTTTATGTAGTTTTCACCTGCCTTTACCAATACCAGGTTAAAAAATATATTCACACAACACTACTAATATTTAGTTAAATTTCATATCTTTTGAAGGTATCAAAAGTTTCTGATCTGATGATTTGTTCACTCTTCTGAACAGAGTGAAATGAAATTTTAAGAGTTAAGAGAATTTTAAGAGTTAAGAGGAAAAAAATTTTTCTCAAAATTTCCAAGTTACAATTCAAACTTTTAAAACTTGTTCAAGTATTCCGACTTGAAACTTGGAAATTCTTTTTTCTACAAACAGAATGTAGTGATACATCCCTGAAATATAATCAAGTCACGGCTTTGAATAAAGTTCTGCTTTGTTTTTTTTTTATTATTATTCTGTCCCCTGTTTTTTAAAATAACAAAAATAAACAAACCAAAAAAAAAGAAACACACACACACACACACACACACACACACAGGGACAACAAAACAACCGGTATTCCTACTGCTTAAAAAATCTGTTAATGACCAGACTTTAATATGAATGACAGGAAATTAAGTTTATAGGTATCTAAAAATACATACAGACTTCGACTGTGCTTACTTCATCAACTGAAAGTGATAAAAGGGCAAATCTTAACCTATATTAAAAACATTAAATATATAAATACTGAAAGTATGGATGATAAGTAAATCCTAATTGTCTTTTTTTAATAGTCTTTAAATAGTTGTACTCTTGTCTGCCTTAAAAATAGTGAGTACCATATATAGATGATGACATATAGCCTGGATCAGTAGTGTTTGAAGTATTACAGTTCTTTTCCCAGGATTAACAGTCCACCACTGCTGTTGTTTGTGAGGATAAATTTTGCCACATAAAATGATTTTCCTTTACTGCAATTGTTTTCTCCTCCTTCCGTATTTATTTAAGATGATCTACCTGCTGACGCAGGTAGATCATCTTAAATAAATAAGCTGTCACCAGTCCACCTTCCTGCATGTTCAGTCACAATAATTGGCTTCACCTGTTTGAGGTTTCTAACATATTATTAGCACTTGATGTTTTTGTCACACTTTTTGAGTTTGCATATATTTTTCAGTTACAGAAATGCAATTGTATACAGCTATCTTGAGCTAAAAGGCTTTTACACAGTTGAAAAGGAAAAGCATAAAACCTCACTGAGCGTCTATTCTGAAAAGTCTTTATTTAGACACTACATGATGAATCAGGACAGTTTGACTCCAGTGGCAGACACTACCAGATTTATAGGAACTAAACGAATGTATGTTGTAGGAAGGCTTTGACCCCATCCTCACTGAACGTCTCTTCAAAAATCAATTTTAATGCTATGCAAGAGTCATGGAGTCTCAGTCGTCCGTCTTTTTGGATCCTCCGCACCATCCAGGCCTCCTCAGGGATCTGATCACTATTTTTTTCTTGCTGTGTCCACTCCCCTGTGTTAGTGATTTTACGCTATTGACTGTCTTCTCTCCACCTTCCTCCTCTTCTATTTCCTGTATTTTGCCTTGCTCTTCTCTGCTTCTGCTACAGTTGGCCTCCTCCTTTTCCTGCTTTCTGCCCCCTGTTTCCAGCTGCACCTCGCTTGTTGCTTCAGTCTCCAGGGTCTCCTCACTCTCGCCCTCCACCATGCACTTAATGCTCATTGCTGGTGGGCTTGTGTCGGGGGCCATTGTTGTTACCATGTTTGATATGAGTGGAGGCATTGGTGCTTTCTTCTTCTTAGAGGAGCGCCTCTGTGGTTGGGGGCTGTTCTTGAGATCCAGATGTTTCTGTATGGCGGTGCTGAGCTCCTCGGGGTCCAAGGATGCTCCATGAATGTCCCACGTCAGCCCATCCTCGTCCCACAGCACCTGCTTCATGCTGCCCCTTCTGCCAAGCTCATCACAGTCTTCAGACTGGGCCTTCAGACATGATCTTTTTCTTTCCAGATACCGTGCAGAAGCGGCGGTGGCGTCCCATTCTGGGGTGTTTTGTTGCTTCTCCTCCTCCTCACCGCTGCTCACTGGGAACATGCTTGAAGACGCCGAGACCAGGTTGGAGTGGGATCCCACAGCTGCCTTCAGGTTTAGTCTGGATCCAGGTGGAGAGCCCAAGAGCGAGTGCGAGCCACTGTTGGAGTTGGACATGTTCTTCTGAAAGTCGCAACAGGAGCCCAAAGGGGAGCCTGTCTGCACCGCAGCATCCATCATCTCCAGCTGTGAGGTCATTGTTCCTTCCTCCCTAAGCAGCTCTGATTTCAGGTTATTGGCAGTAGCCTCCAACTGCATCATGAGGTCACCCAACCGTGAGTCACTCAAAGAAGTAACAAGTGGTGTTCTCCAACTTTTGCCCGTCTGGCAACTTTGCTCCAACGACAGAAGGTAATGGCAACCTGAGAGTTTGGCCTTAAAATCAGTTTTTTCTGCAGAAGGAATTGGCTCTGGCTTGCAATCAGCTGGCAGTGGACTTTCCTCTCCTTTATCTTCCATTACTTGGGTGCCTATGGGGCTGGGTGACTCTTTACTCTCATCATTAACAAGGCATGCGGAATCTGCACACTGTCCTTCATCTGTGAAGCTTGCATGCGATTGGACTGGGGAAGGAAACTGAAATAAAAGTTTCTCAGGGGAGTTGCTGTCGTCTCTACAGGTTATCCGAGGACGAGGCGAGTACTCAGACTCCCGGTGTGTGCTTGGTGTTAGTGGTGAAGAAGCCAAATGACCTTGAGGTGGTAAAGTAGGTGTATGGAAGGGGGAAATCAATGGTGAGGGTGTGGTTGGAGGAGAGGTTACTCTAGACATTGGAGAATCTGGGGTGAAGCAGGCGGTTGCTTCCTGGCTGAGACAACAGGAGCGCGAGGACCCTTCCTTCCCTACAACCGTGTCCGGAGTGCTGCTACGGCTGTGCGTGCTGCTGCTGCAGCCACTCCAGCGATGCATGTTGGAAATCCAGCGCTCACTGAGAGGTGGAGGGCTGTGCAAGTCTTCATTCTGAGTTGTGACAGAGAACTGGTGGCTGTTGTGGTGCCACTTGTGATGGTGCAGCTGCTGCAGCGTCACTTGATTCTGGTCCGAGTGCGTGTTGGTGCTGGAGCTGCGCTTCAGATCCAGTCGCATCCAGGCTAGGTCTCGCTTGTGAGGAGGGCCTGTTGCTGTGACGACGTCTACTGAGCTTTTAGAAAGGGAGAAAATAGGAGTCCGGTCGTCTTCGTCCTCCAAAATGCCAACTTCACTGGACGAGGACAGAGACTGTCCGACCGAACAGCAGGCGGACTGGTAGCTCTCAGACGCAGGGCGACCAGACCTTGCCATGGCAACAGCCCAGACCTGTAAGGACAAACACATTTAAATAATCAACTCTTCAAAGTATGGAATTAAGAAATCCCTCTTGCCGTTTTGCCACAGTTAAATATTTCCGATCCTCAAACAAATTAGAATCAATAAGAGTAAAAGTCCAAACATTGACCATGCCACTCTGAATTGATGTGTTATTATCAGGTTAATATTGATCAAATTATCAGGTGTAAAAATATTCTAAAATATTCAGAGGCACCGTTATGAACTTCTGTGGGAATTTCTGTAACTTTTGCTTGGGGGCTAGCCTTAAACCCGGAGAATTTGTATCAACTTGTAGAGAAAGCAAACCAGATTTGTAACTCCGGTTGGTTCAATACCGGTTTCTTCTTAGCCACCTTGGCTATCTCCTCAACTGCTAACCTATGCTGTGCTCATTAGCTTGGTGCTAACTCTCTTTGTCACCCAGTTCAAAGCCCCGTAAAGCCAATAGAGGCAGCAGGATCAGATCTTAATTCTCTGCAGGTCCCTTTCAACGAGTGGCATGTCTCACGTCGCCCACGTGCACACTGCTCTAAAATTTGAGCAATGGATGCTCCTTCAAAGTGATTTCCAAACAATTTTTGGATGACACATTTCTCAGGGATTTGAATGAGAGCATTCAAACACACATACACAAACACACAAAATCCAGATTAACCAAATGAGATTACGCAGCCCAGATTACTCGATTATTGAGACAAAATCAAGATTAATACAGACAGATTTAAATGTGCATTTTGCCACCAGAAAACAGATAAAATGATATCAAGTCAAATGGAGATATGTCACATGAAACTTTTGGGACAACGTGGTAATTATTTGATTTCTCCTTGCACTACAGACAAGTGTCAGCAGATTCTGTTTGCAAATAAATGAAATACTGTTGTATTCATGAGCAGGGGAAAAAAAAAATCTGGAAATCTTGCATTTCATTAAAAGTACAATAATGAATTCACACCACAGAAATTCTCAAAAGCAGCTGATCTGCACAGTTTGTAAACACAAATAATCAAATCAAAGTGTATTTCCATACACACATGCCACCACGGAATAATGTTTGACAATGAAAATTAACCTCTTACCTGAAAGTTCACAAGTTGTGTCCTGTTTTGCCCTATGCCCGGCCACAGTGCTGGTCGCTCTAATTGGTGCCTCTCCTTCCTCCCCTCATGTCTTCCACTCTTCCTCACGTCCTTCTTAAATGGCTTCCCTCTGTCGATGTCAATCACATAAAAAGCCTCGCGGCCAGGTTTCCTTCGCTGTGACCCTCCTTAAGGTTGATCCGCTTCCTCTACCTCTGTTGGGCCGCATGTGATGTCAACGAAGGTGAAACTGTTTTTGTTTTTTTCTTTTTAAAGGTGCATTGTTCGGTGCGTTTGTGTGTGTGTGTATGTGTGTGTGTTTGTGTGAGAGACAAAGAAAGAGCCATTACTCTATGCCTTTAGCTCTGAGGATTACCAGTCATCTTATTAGCTACTGTCCAATCCGGTCTTTGTGTGTGGAAGCGAACAGCGGGTGGCTTATAAGCACTTTGATTCAAATTCAGGATAAGGTCATCTGTCAGGACTGTCATTACGCATGATTATAGTTGAGTGTTAAAGGCATCCCTGTCTGAACTAAGCTTATTGCTCGTTACATTAAATCTGTATTTGGGTCAAATAACAATGGTGACGGTGTTATGCTCAATTTATGCACAAAGTACAAACAAAAACTATTTGGCTAGTAACAAGTATCAAACAACAGCATTTACTTACCGTCTTAGTCTGAAGTAACCTCAAACAGAACTTGTTGAGTGAAATATTTAAGGTTTTCTTTGTTTCTAAAAGGGACTAGGTTGTTCTGTTTCAAAACATGGCTGCCTTTACTGAGCCTGGTTCTGGTTCTGGTCTCTTGCTGTTAAAAGGGAGTTGTTCCTTTCCTCTGTCACCATATGCTTCCTCAACAGGAGCTAATGCAACAGTCAGTGACTGAGCTTCCTTAGAAAACTACTAACCGGTATTATGAACTACATTAGTCTGCACTGTAAAATGATTATATTAGAATATAAATTATTAAATTCAACTTTTTTTTTTTAGAGTGATTCATTCAGTGAATATCTTTTTGAGAATACATTTCTTTGAGTTGCCACTACATAAATAAATACATTATTAATTAAATTATGTTTTGTATATACAAATACCATGGTGTGGAAAAGTTTTAACCCAGTTCACAATTTTCTTTTTTTTCTTTTTTTTGGCATGTTTCTCACGTTAGCCAATGTAAATGTCAGTCAAAGACGACACAAATTAACACAAAATGCAGCGTTTAAATGAACATGCTTAATATTACTATAAATAAGGCTAGCATTTAATTCCAAAGTCAACAAAATGAACCAACGTGTATTTCTGCCCGGAGGCCTGTTAATCCAGCCTTTTAGATAGCAGCATAACATGGTGAGAAACGGCCAGCTGCGTCCAAAGTCTCACTGCTCTTCATCGTTACTTACAGTTCAGGTAGAGTGCTAAGTTGCTGCTTCATGTTTGGACGGCCATTCTGTCTCAGTTAAAGCTGACGAGAAGAACATTTGTCATGACTGGTGAGAATGACGCAGTAAAGCATTAATGCATTAAAGATACGTTTATAACTGAAGTGAGAATAAGTTTGGGTGTCTGATTGTTCAGACCAGGCGCTGCTGCTTGCTGTTTGTCTGTCCGTCGGCCTGCTATTGCTAGTGCTGCTGCTGATTCTGACAATGTGCTGCCTGAGGAGGAAGAAGAACAAACAGGGTCAGTATCAGGAGCTGATCAGCGCGGTGCCATCGGTGCCGGCCCACTCTGCTCCGGTGATCCCTGTGTCTCAAGGCTTTTGTGCCAGGCAAGTACCAGAAGCAAATATTAGTGAATTTATTGAGAGTAACCCCAGAAAAATGCCAAACCAGAGGACCTAAATGCTTTCATTTTGTTGTTGTTTATGCAAGGCATGGTGAAATCCCTTTCTCTTTACCTCCTCGCTGTGTTCCACAAAACACCACGGTTCTGAGAGATCAAGAGAGCCAGGAGAAAGAAAAGGAGGGAGCGTTGAAGGTGGATGCTCAGCGAGACATTCTGGCTCACCGTGGGTCACTGTCAGTGAGAAGTAGGTCATAAGTGCTGCAGTTGTTGCACTAAAGAAATGCTTTCAATTTGAAATCTGCAATCTAGACTTTCAAAACTTACATTTAAAATTTAAACCTTCATTATTAACCTTCTGGTTGACGTAATAACTGTAATATGTTTCCGACAACTAATACTGATGCAACCTAGCCCAACGCAGCGAATAATTAAGATGTGAAGTATAATGTGTTTATGTTAATGTTAGGTGTTCAAATTTCCAGCAATTTAATTAGTAATTCTTGTTTCTGAATTTCCTTGATTGGTATTTTTTGCCTCTACAGTGAACAACAGAGAGATTCTCCAGTAGATCAGGCTAAGCAAAGAGTTGGTAGTATCCAAAAACTGTTTGTATCCTGATTTATTTTTCTGCATCCCTGGTTTTCTTTAGGCTGGTACCCAGTGGGGTCGGTGCTGACAGGTCTGTACTCTATGACCCCTCTGAGCGAGGTGGCGGCCCCTCCTCTTGGCATGGCCACTCGCCTCTGCCTCTCTGTAGAGTATCGTCACAGCAGCGAGCAGCTCGTGGTCTCCTTGCTCCGCCTCAGCAACCTCCTTCCCCGTTTCCACAGCAACATGACGCTGGTGGAACTGCGGCTTCTTCCTGACGACCGGAGGCCCCGGCAGGCTAAGGCCCGGGGGACGGGGCCCGACCCAGAGTTTAACGACTGCTTGATTTTCCAGGCAAGGGCATGTGGTTGAATTTGCAACTTTGAGCTCACAGGAGCATCTATATACATATATGAGCATTATTGAAAAGTGAATTTACTTTAGTAATTGAGTTTTAAAGCTGAGACATACATTTTAAACTCATTGAACTCTGAGTGAGAAATGACTAAGCTAAAAATAATTAAAAAAAAAATAACAAACCTCAGAGTCACAATCATAGTGATGACTTAACAGCTGTCCAGTAGACACTACTTCACAAGGAGGGTAAGCCACAAAGGATCAATATCAAACAATGAAGCTGTTCACACAGAGCTTTATCCAGGTATAATAATGGAAAGTTAAGTGGAAGGAAAAAAGCCAATACAAAAATAGATAATTGCATCCAAACAAGGATTCTAAAACAACAGCATTCCTTATTTCAAGCTCAGGCTAAGGATGAGCAAGACTAAACTGATCTTCAAGACTTCAAAATCTTCTAACAAAACGTTCATTTTGGATTTAATTCAGGAAGTAAGGTTTAAGAGTCTGAGGTACACAGGCGAACATCATAGTGTAGATTCTCAGTCATCCGGGCCATTTATAATCCTAAGTGCTTAAACAGAACATCTTCTATTGTTTCTTGAAGAGATTTCAGCTCTATCTTCAGTTCCTGGAATGGATAGATGGTAACAGGCTTATAAGGCTTGAGTAAGTTCCAACTTACTGGAAGTTCAGTGTGAAGTTTCCACAGTCAGGGATGATTTGTAATCTGCTGGTGTTGGTCCATTGTGTTTTATCAAGTCCAAAGTCGGAGGAGCCGTCTACCAGGAAGTAATATTCAAACCTTCTGTGAAACTGAATGTTAAATTCTCATTAACTGTAAATCATAATTACCAAATGTAGGAGAAATAAACACTTGATCCATGTGCTACAAATCTATGTAACCACAATAATACACACTCATCGTTTAAAAAGACACGTCTGCTCAGTGTGTGTGTGTGTGTGTGCCTTACAGGTATCAGCAGTGTGTGTGTTGCGGAGCACGCTGAGTGTGTGTGTGCTGAGTGTGGAGAAAGACGGTAAACGGCACGCCGTGGGCAGAGTGTTGTTTCCCCTGGAAGGGGAGCTCGGTCAGGCCGGCAGAGTTCTGTGGAGAGACCTTGACCCTGAGGAGGAGACGCAGGTAAACACCAACACGTCCACACACATCCACAAAGGGGTGATCAACATGCTCAGAATGGTTCTGCCGTCTAATCTTCGCCAGTGTTCGGAGCTGGGCGATGTGCAGATATCCCTTAGCTACAGTTCGTCCCTGCAGCGACTCTCGCTGGTGGTCCTAGGAGCTCGAGGCCTTCAGCTGCTCACAGACGCAGGTTTGAAGAGTTTCATCAATAAAATCGAGGCTTTTACCTGCTCAGTGCACCACAGCGTGCGGCTACGCTCCCGCAGGTGTGTGTGTCCAGGTGAGCTTGCAGATACACACTCAGATGGTGAAGACGAAGCGTAGCTGTGTGGTGAAAGGCGAACAGGACCCCATCTTCAACTACAGGATGACTTTTAAACTGCGACCGCAGCACCTGGATGATGCCTGTTTAAGATTTGAGCTCCAGCATCCGAACGACAACCGCTCAGGTGAAAAAAACTTTTTAATGAGTCAAAAAACATGCATCTTTCTATCAGAACTTCTTAGATCATCTGCATTCATGGTTAAAAAGAACATTTTTAGGATTGCCAATATGAGAAGAGCTAAGTAAACAATTTAGCTGCCCACCATCAGCATACTTCAGCATTCACCATAGACAATCAAATCATGAATGTCTGCAAATTCTCCTTGAGATTAGTCCACAAGGCTCAGAAAATGACAAAAAAATATGCTGGCCCTGCATTTTGGACTTAACAGGCAGGCTGCTGCACATGTTAAAGTTCACGACAACCAGACAGAGATTAAGCATTATTAAAACACAAAGCCTCCCCTCTCTATAAGGAGTAGGCAACACAAACAAGTGTGTCATGTTAAATTTGAAACTAATGTTAAAAATTACAAGTAAATTGCTGACATTTTTGAGATTTCAGCATGTTCTTGCCCCCTCACAGATTAGCTGTTAGCTTTAGCTTCCACGACCAAATAATGGGCATTTATTCTAAACCAATCTACTTCAGGTACTGGAAGCATTAACTAATTATGACGTTTTATCAGAACCTCGCATGATTGCTTTAAAGTAAGACCTTTGTCAAAGATCAGCTGTTGTTGCTTTCAGAACCTCCAGCCCTGCTGGGAGTGCTGGTGTTGGGTCCCTTCATGTACGCCAGGGGTCTTCAGCTGCAGCACTGGATGGACATGATCAACAAGGCACAAGAGCCGGTCAGAATGTGGCACAGACTGGGCCGGGCAATATAAATCCCAACATAGCATTCAGAGGCTAAAGGGGAGTAAAAAAAAAAAAAAAAAAACTTCAAATATTTGTTTATCTTAGGCTCAAGTCCAGTCTCCAAGAGCTACTATTAGTGATAGTGTGCTTAAAGCAGAAGCTCCGGGGCATATGTCGCGAAAAGCAACATGGTGCTTTGTAAGTGTTGTGTCAAAGCTTGATTTGGTCGGCCACTCAGTGAGGTTTCAGAAGAATCATGGTATTGGTAGTTTGACACTTGGTTCAACACGTCAAAAGGAAGTGAATCATTGTTCGGACTACGCATTCTGGAGATTTGGTGTAAATTAAAGCTGCTCTTCACACTTTTCGCCACCAGATGCCACTGAAGAGGTGAAAAGCTTTGAGTAATTGATCTTTATTCAAAACAATCGTCAGAAAGCATAATTTGTTAGCAAGCTGTTCAAAGGGTTTGCATCTAAATGTATCAGGATAGCAGTTGTCAACAACTGGGCTGAAAAAAATGTAAGGATTTGCCAATTTCTTGTTGTTTTTTGTTTTTGTTTGTTTTTTTAGATAAATTACCAGACCCTGTAGTTTCACTGCTCTAGTTTGTCCCTCCATTTGGCCTTCTTTCCCAACCACACCAATAATATCATCAAAAGTTGACATTAATTAGAGTTGGAGGTGAAAAGAAAGACCTTAATTGATTGTCTGGAGGCCTTTGTATTTACACTTCTTGCGTTTATGCATTTAATTTCCGTTTGGAAATAAAGTATTTTTTAAATGTGACTCCCGCTATTTGTATTTCATTTGTTTTATCTTGTACAATTTATGCTTCTGTTTGTAAACTCTCATTCTTCATTTTTCTGTAAAGCACAGAATAATCTTGTACACTAATCCTTGCCACTAAATGGATTTTAACTGAGCACAATAAGCCTTTTGTTTTGATTTGACACTAAATAAATAAAGTGAAATGAACTACAATTAAAGTTTAAACTTAAACTGTTGTTGACATGTCAATAGATTTATGCTTCTTCTTGACGTTTGGCTGTCTAATAAAAGGCGAGACATAAAAGGAGACATAAAAGGAGCACTCAGACGTGAAAGTACTCCTGCTGTCCAGCAGGCGGCGCCTGGCTAACTTGGTCCACTGTGCGCAGTCGCAGTAGGAACCGTTGCGAGAGAATAAGGAAGCCATCCTCAGTTGCTATGATTTTGTTTGTAGCTGTCGATTCATCATGAAAATAAATGAAAACACATTACTGGAGGGACACAGAGTGCTACTGGTTCCATATAATGAAGAGCATGTCCCCAGGTCAGTACCAGCTGTTATGGTTCGGGTTCTTTTGCTCCGTGCAGGACTGCTTTGGTTACCCCGTAGAAAACGATACGTTTAACTAATTTGAATCTTTATTTTTAGCTAAACATATTTAATTTGGTTCCAATATTCGTGATTTTTGAGACAAAGATGAACTCAAAATGAAACGGAACCACTTGCACAAATCAAAGTGTGTTTAAAATGCACTTCAACTTAAATTTAAAATAAATCAAACTACTCATTTTAAATAAGTTTTAACAGTAACCTACTTGTTTTACAAACCGACTACTACTATTAGTTTTTTCATAAATGACTTATTTTAACTGCAATAAATGAAACAAATATTTATTTTTAAAGATTATTGTTATTAATCATAAATCATTGGCCAATAATCAGTGCCGGTACGTCCTCTTGCTTTCCACAGATATCATGAGTGGATGAAATCTCCTGAGCTGCAGCAGCTGACTGCCTCAGAGCCGCTGAGCCTGCAGCAGGAGTACGACATGCAGAAGAGCTGGAGGGAAGACGATGACAGTACGGTGCCACAAACGCAAACAATAACTATGAACCAGTCAACGTTTAACAAATGTTTCACATTTGTTTTAATTTTCAAGCTGCAACTTTCCAGAATGCACATTTATTATCTTGGACAAGCAGCGCTGGGTGGACCCAGGTGTCGACGAGGAGCAGTGCATGGTGGGAGATGTCAACATCTTCCTGACCGACCCCTCAGATCCATTCTTGGCGGAGCTGGAGGTCATGATAGCAGGTGATGCGCATTCTGTTTTTTGTTCAGAGCCTTATTCCAAAAATAGTTTTAAACATTTTGAATGATTTTGTTCCTCCCTCCCTGATTAGAGCCCAGTTACAGAGGAAGAGGCATCGGGAAGGAGGTGACTCGCATGATGATGAGCTACGGTGAGAAGCTGTTGCTGTTTGTCATATTAAAACCTAAACCTTCCATGTATTTTTTTAAAACAAATTTTTAGTGTATCAAAAGGCAAATGACTGCTATGAATGCAGCAGTATTTGGTTGGATATAACATTCCAGGTGTCATATTAAGGACATTAATCATAGCCAAGAAAGAGAACAGAGAGGAAAATGTTTATCGATTTGTATTAGCATCAACAGTTAAATGAAATATGTCCTGCTTTTCAAAATTTAAAAAAATGCGATCAAAACAAAATGGCTCAGAAATTTCACGTTATCCCGTTCAAATAAATACATTTGCATTGATTTGGGAATTGTGTGTTCTTCATCAGGAATCACCAAACTCGGAGTCAAAAAGTTTCAAGCAAAAATTGGTCTGGACAACCAAGTCAGCATCTCCATGTTCAAGAAGCTGCAGTTTCAGGAGGTAAGGAGGAGGGAGACTTTAGGTCACTGCGCAGGAAGATCAGACGGTAATCGCCATCTCTGCAGGCGTCTGTGTGCAGCGTCTTCAAAGAGGCGACCCTCGAGCTGATGGTGGACGACTCCGTTCGGACCAAGCTGCAGGAAGATGTGGCTTACATGAAGGAAAGGGACTACAAGCAAACATGCAGCAGCAGACATGAGCTGGTTCAGCAGTGAGGTGATCTACCGTGAGCTCCATCGTCCAACCATTATTTGTGAAACAGAAACACAGAGGCTTTACCTCCTTCCCTTGAGGAAGAGAGCTCTCGTTTTGGTCCCGATTGCTCCCCGGCAACCTCAACAAAATGCCTCCATGTACTAAACAGGTGGCTTTTGAAGGTCATCGTTTGCTGTATTCTATTAGAGTTGAAGAGGCCGAGTGTAGGAGCACGTCACACTCTTCAGATGTTTATGAAAAGAAAGTTTGGACACATTGGATCCTTTTTTTTTTTTTTTTTTTACTGCCATTTGATTGTTTCCTGATGCAAATTCCCAAGAACATAGAAAGATTTGGAAAAATTTAAAAGGGTATTTGTAAGTCATTTATTGAACGTGCTCAGAGGCCGGCATAATGTAAATATTAAAGTTTTTATTTTATTTTTAGCAATATAAATTACTCATTGTCCAGGGATGACAGAATAATAGATTTTTCGCTAATTGTGGCATTTGTAGAATTGTTACTGTGCATTGTCCCTCCCAAATTAATAAAAATTTACATTTTTATTTTACCTTTATATACACTGGTTCTCTCATTCAGTTCCGAAATTTTAATGTAAAAACATATTTTCACACAGACAAATGTACTGGCTGCAGAAACATCTTTAAAAAAATAATAAAAATCTTCAGCTTTTTTAATCCGTCTGAAATGTTTTAACCATTCAATTTTTAATATGAATCCATGTTAAATTAGGGCAGGTAACCTTTAAGCTCTAGTGAAAACAATAGTTTGCTCCTCAGAAATGACATGAAAACTCACTTTCTTGCATCTTTGGCAAAAATGTGCCTGTTTTTTATTTGTCATGTAGGAAAAATGACTCAATTACCAGCTGCAAGCATTTACAGCGTTCACCTGCGAGATTCGACAGGAACAGCGGCCTAGATGGAGAAGGCACTGCACATGCTCCGACAAGCTTTGGCACGCGCACACACGTCTGACGACACTCCAGAGCAGCACAGACGTGTCCGCTTCACATTTAGCTGAAGACCTCAAGGGCAGCCTCCGCTTCGATTAATGTAAAGTGCAAAACGCCGTCCACAGGGAGATATTTAGCTGATGTAAATAAAACAGGCCATATAAAGATTTTGACAGTAATTCCATAGGAATAAGTCTCTGTGCAGGAACTTCCACATCCCGGCATCGCAAACGGGAACGACAATTTCCACATGTTAAAAAACATCCCAGAGACACCAGGAAAAGCCTGCAGCTCTCGTCTCTGATGGCAGCGTTTAGTTCTTCGATGTTTGTGTGGACTCCAGGAGGTCCTTAGCAGCGGATGACAGATTGCGTAGCAGCTGTCTGACCACGCCCTCCTGCACTTTGGCCCAGGATAAACAGTCGTCCACGGCCGCGTTGATCGGCACGCAGACCTCTTCCCTCCTCAGGTCGGTCAGCCGACATGCGGCAGCAACTCCGGCTATTCCCAGCGTCAGCAGGAGGAGGAGCTTAAAAGTCCAGCCAACGAGAGAACGCTGTGATTTAGCTGCTGGTTTCACGTCGACCTTTTTATCTGTGAAGACATGAAAAGTGATGTTGAAGCTTCTTCAGCTTCTGAAGCCTCAGCTTTGTTTTTGGAAAGATGCAACAATCAGAATAAAACAAATTTTAGCCCCCACTTTTTGCTTGCCCATTCTTTTTCTTCTTCTCCTCGCTCTTCTTCTTCTGCTGCTCCTGCACAGCCTGAGCCGCCACCTGAGCGTTGTACTCCTTCCTTCTCCTCTCCTTTTCCTCTGCTTTCTCCCGTTTGCGAGCTTCCCTTTCTCTGGCCTCCCGCTCTTTCTGCTTCGCTTCCTTCTTCCTCTCCAGCTCTTAAGTGCAAAAACGACATAAGGTCATCTCCCTGTTCCCGATTCATCGTCACTGTGCAGATAAACGGGGCTCTGAGACATTTCGATCCATTTAGACAATGCAAATAAAGTGAATTTGTCTGTTTTATGGTTTCAGGCTTTAAATATGACAAACCACAGAGTTAAAAGAAAATAGAGAGGGATGGACAAACTAATCATCTGGAAAAAAATGTGATTAAAGCCATTTTTCTTGACTCAAGAACAGTGGCGGTCATATGTAGCTTTATGGATTTCAAAATATCTCCAATAATAAAATCTTTCCTTTTTGGGGGCGGGGGAAACAAACAAACATTCAATTATCTACCTTTTTCTTTCAACAGGCGTTTCTCTCGTGCACGATCATAGTCTTCCTGTATGGCTCTCATGTGCTGTAGGACCTGAAACACACCGACATTCGAGTTTTTATTTTTGAGCTAGCCTCAGTTAAGGTCAGAGAAACTGGTTCCACAAAGACTGGTATCATATTTTCCAAAAGAAACATCTTAAAGATTCCCAAGACGTCAGGGAAAATATATTATCAAAGGGCCGATGAGAGAAACGTCTAATTGCATAAAAGGCGTGTATCATTATGTCAGCATTCAAACATGGAGGTAGTAGTGTAATGGTTTGTGGCTGCTTTGTTTCCTCACTACCTGGGCGATTTGCTCTAATTGATTGGAACCCTGAATTGTAGTGAAATTAAATCTTGATCTATTAACGTTTTCTGATGATATTTTAAAAAAAATGGGGAAAAGAAGAAATCTTTTAGTTCTTGTGTGTAAAGCAGCTGAATGTGTTGCAGCCACCTTAGAGGCACACTGTTTGCACTGCTTCTCATCCAGACAGTCTCCTGCCGCTTTGGCCAAACCAGGCTCCAGAGGATTATCCTTCAGATCGAGCCACTTCAGACTCTAAACAAAAGGGAAAAATAAAATAAAATAAAATAATAAGTCAACAATACTGCTAATATGACACATATTAGCTGTATTTCAGGCTTTTTGGCACAACTGTACATATAAAATATGATCCTACCCACCCTGAGCTGAGAGAAGCTGACAGGCAGGACCATCAGCTTGTTGTTGTAAAGGTCCAGGTGTTGTAGGTTCACCAGGTTCCCCAGGTCATCTGGCAAACAGGTAAGCTGGTTTTTACTCAGGTCAAGCTTCACTAAATGGATGAGGCTGCAAAACTCTGGCTGCGTAAGAGAAATGGGGTAAAACAGACAACAATCACGTATCTGAACTGTGTAAGCAGAATAAAAACTATATTGGATGGCGAGCAGCTGCAAGTATACATTTTCAAGTTCCGCTACAACTGAGCTTAAGTCAAGGATTTGACTAGACAATTCTAATATCTTAATATGACTGAATTTAAACCAATAATTTAACTGTGGCTCTTGCTGTATATTTAGGGTCTTTCTCTTGCTGCTAGGAGGTGAACATACACACATCTTCCCATCAGCACTGACCAGAAAAATATTCAGTGTTATTAATGTGTAAGTCACCACCACATTCACCATGAAGATGGTTTGGTCAGGCTGTAGCATAAGGTTTCCTCCATGCACAGTGTTTTTCATGGAGGATTTAAAGATCAGTTTATGTCTCATCTGACCAAAGCATCTTCTTCAGAGCGCCTATGGATTTCTTTCAACAATGGTTTTATTCTTAGTGGTGCTATCTAGAGGAGCAGGCACCTATGCAAACATCTGTCTGCCCTTTCTAGCGATTAAAGTCATTCAGGTCAAAAATTTAGCAATGTGTGTGTTTGATACTTACAGGAAGGGAGATGATGTTGTTACAAGAAAGGTCCACGACTGTGGCTTTAGGAAATAAAGACTGTAGGAGAAAACAAAGTAAGATTTAGATGAATACAAACAATTATATTCCTAATCATGGTAACTTATTAAACTGCTTAAATATCTTAATTCCAAAGGATTTAACAGCGTCACTTTTTCAGTGTATTATTTCACAAGATGACTAACATGTTGTCTTACATTGACTTCCTCCATTCAGTGTGCTCAACATGGCTAATAATAAAAAGAAAAATGCTAAAAAGCTTATTTAGGGAAAAGGCTAATGCTAATAGTGGGGGACAGTGCACTGCTAATGTTAATGCACTGCCTTCTGATTTTTACTTTTGTAAAAGTCAGATGTTTACTTTGTGGCACTTCGTTACCAGAAAACGCACTCATCTCTTAGCAACAGACTAACAACAAATATTGTTATTGTTCAAAAGACATAAGATTTCTTCTGCCCTTTTAAAATACTACTTATTTTATAGTACTTACTAGATTAACAAGAATTGTGCAGTTGGTGAATTTGGAAGAAAAGTCTTTTTTTTTTATTATTGGTGGCAAGTATATTATAAAAGTAAAAATCTGATTTATACTTCGTGGGAGTTCGTTACCAGAAAACGCGCTCATCGCTTAGCAACAGATTAACAACTAATATTGTTATTGTTCAAAACACATAAGATTTCTTCTCTTTTGAAATATTACTACTACTTACTACTTAATGTAATTGATTGTCTGCAGCCTGTTTACGTCTTTCATGGAGTGTTTACTATTTCTCTTTCTGAACATTTGTAAGTTTCACTGTTATTTGTTTTTCTAATGATACGTCTTCAAGCTTTTTAGATTATGAGATAGGCTGTCAGCAATGTAAGGTATAAATAGAATTAAGGGGCTGAAAATAAAATGTAATGATATTAGAATTATGGCAGCAAACCAAACACAACACAAAGAACTTGGCACAGTTTTTCAACCAAACTAACCGACTTGAGTCCGGACCGACTTCTGAGTCGGGACCGGCTTCTGAGTCGCGAACGGCCTCCGAGTATGGAACGGCCTCTGAGTCGGGACCGGCCTCTGAGTATGGAACGGCCTCTGAGTCACGAACGGCCTCTGAGTCGCGAACGGCCTCTGAGTATGGACTAAAAAACATTGAAAGCCAAGACGCAGTAGTCTTTGACGACCAGGACATAAACAAATACTATCCATATGTGAATAAAGGTGATCTAGTTTTGGAAGACATCGAATCAATAGACTTCGAAGACCTAGACAAGAATGAAGAGCCTGAGATAAAACCTGCTATTGAGGTGAAGCCTGCTGTTGAGATAAAGCCTGATGTCAACAGAAACAGGATGTGTCGTGTTGAAGGGACGCTCTCCAGCAGAGAGGATGCACAACGCACCATATGTGGGAACACAAAAATATTCCCAATGCAGACAAACCTTGGTGCTGAAAGCGTGACAAAAATACCA